GAGGTAGAAACAACCCACCTGTTGTTTCTGACTCATCTGACACTGTAGATTCAGATGAATGGGTAATAAAAATATGGTATATGCATATGATGAAATATTATTCAGCCTTAAGAAGGAAGGAACTCCTGTCATATACTACAAACATGGGTGAATCTTGAGGACATGATGCTAAGTGAAATAAGACAACCACAAAAAGACAAATGCTGGATGATTTCACTTACATGAAGTACCTAGAATAGTCAAATTCATAGAAACAGAAAGTTAGACTGGTGACTACCAGGGACCAGGGAGAGGGGGTAATGGGGAGTTGTTTAATGGATATAGTTTAAGTTTTACAAGATGACAAGGTTCTGGACGTCTGTTGCACAACAACGTGAATGGACTTCACACTACCAAACTGTACACTTAAAGATAGTAAAGATGATAAATGTTATGTTTTGTGTTTTTACCACGGTTAAAGAGTCATTACACAAATGGAACTGTTTTCATTTCTGTCCAGGCTTCAGGATATCAAATAAAGATAACATGTAAAAACAAAGCCAGCAAATTAACCTCTAAAGAGAAAGGTCAATTTATTAATATTTAATTTTTAAATTTTTTTTAAATTTTTTATTTTTAGCTGAGCCATCTGCCACCTGTTGGCAGCTCAGCGGCAGCTCAGCTCGAGCTGGTGGGACTCGAACCGCTGTTGCTCAGAGCTCGCACTGTTGAGCGAGCTCTTAATCAACTGAGCCACTCGGCTGGCCCTATTAAGATTTTAAAAGCACACACAAGTCTCACACATACTACTAGTCTTAGATATGTAAAAAGGCCTGGCTCAGAAGTGTCAGGAATGGGATTCAGTTGAGTATGTAGTAGGCCCCCACTGTCGGTAAGCCTGTCCTGAATGGTAGGGTAACTCCACAGCCTCTGCCCTTGAGCCTTGAGTCTGCGTAACGGGGGCATATAGCAGATTCTCTTGTTGTTCATGGAACTGAAGAGTCGGGGGCGGGGGGGTAGAACTGACTTTAGGCCCCCTTCACCTTGACATGCTTCTCAGCCAGTGTGGCTACCTCCAACTCTAAGCTTACCTCCTTCCAGGAGGAGCAGGAATCTCCCTCATGGTTTGGGGACAGACCTGGGGTGGATTCTTTGGGGTTCCACTTTGGGTGACAGGCTCATCCTTGAGCAAGTCACTGTGGTCAGAATTGGCCGTAGTCACGTGGCTTACCCTGGCGCCCTGAGCCTACCTGAGCACACAGACGTAACAGGCAGACATAACAGATGCTGAGCAGGCAGATGTAACAGATACCTACCATGAAGGATGAGATGTGGACAGAAGACCAGCAATGTTAGGGAAGGTGAGGCCGAGTCAGCAGCCAAGGAGTGGTGACTGAGGCTGGCTTTGAAGGATGAGGGCGTCGTAGGATGGGGGTGTAGGCATGGCAAAGTCAAGAGAATGGAAATCATGAGGGAAACGGGAGTGAAGATCATCGGCTTTCATGGAGGGAGGTCTGAGTTTGGATACACTGCTCTGCCACTTGCCTTTGGGCCAATTTTGTTTTTTTTAGTTTTTTTTAGCTGAGCCATCCTGCTACCTGTTGGCAGCTCAGCGGCTGCTCAGCTGGGGCTGGACTCGAACCGCTGTTGCTCAGANGTGGAGACAGGTTGCTTCTTTCCCTGATCCCAGCAGGATCTGACTCATCCTGGGGGAGGTCTGAGGTCTGGAGGTGCAGGTCCCAAACCCTCTGCCTGAGATGCACCTGAGTGACCACTAGATGGTGCACTTGAGTCTAGAGCAGTGCGGCTGAGTCACCCAGGAGGGCTTGTTACCACCCAGATGGCTGGGCGAGTGTCTGATTCTGTAGGTCTGGGATTGGGGATGGAGAATTTGCATTTCCAACAAGTTCCCAGGTGATGATGACCTGTCACCAGAGTGCCATACTCTAAAAACCAGAATTCAGTAATAGAAAGATAGCTGTTCTTAGAAAAAGTCAGCTTTCTAGTTACATATCTATAACAGCAGCTCTTAACTGTTTTAAAATCTGATTAAAGCAAAGACTCCTCTTCTCATTAAAATGTGCATAGACATCTGACTGGACATTCAATTTTAGAGGACTCCCCAGACAATAATGTTAAAAAGCCTTGAATTATCTGTTACTCAAAATGAGTTCCCTAGCGATTTCTCTAAAAGCCCTTCTATATAATAAGCCAGGATGACCAGTTAGAGCCCCCTTTCTGGCTCCATTCTCCTTTCCCCAGGGGTCACTGTGAGCTAAATGGCTAGGTATATACATTAGGCAGTTTGCTCAGAAGCTACTGAGGTTCTCTTCCGGTTGAAACACATCTCCCAAGTCCAGAGCTGGAGCTGCCTGGCCCCCTTCACCCCCTGACCGGTTCAGTGGCATTTGGGTAGGGCCTGTGTCTGTGGGCTTGCTAGCAAACAGTTGGGAGCCTCCCTAGAAATCCCCCTGGCTTCTCTTTTTCCATTTCTCACTTTTGGACCAAGTTCAGGACTGGCTTTTTCTGCTCACTGGAGCAAGCGAATTGGTTAACTCAGTTCCTGCTTAGGTGCTGGCAGAGCTTGGTGCCAGATAAGCCTGGTAAACTAGTCATCAGTCGCCTCCAGACCCATGTTTCTTTTACCCGTGCTTCTGCTACGAAACATTGGTCAACAGGAAGCGTTTTGAGCTGGTTTCACAACACAAACCCCAAATCTCACAGCACCTTCCAGTCATTCTCAACTCTCCAGGTAGGGAAACTGCCAATTCCGTTGCAAATGGATGAGGATACTATTATGGTATAGCACCTTAAAGCTTGCAGGTCACTTCCCCTTCTATTACCCTATTTGAGCTTCACAGATGTACTTGGAGGGTGTAGGTGCTTCTTATCCCCCTTTTATATATAAGGAAGGAAGCTGAGGCTCAAAAAGTTCAATAGAAAGATGTAGCAAGCAATTATCAAGCAGTTCCTGAGCTAGTATTTATGCGCATTTGCTAATTTGATCCTCGCAAAAGGCTGAGGAGGTGGATACAATTGATTCCCCCTGTTTTACAGATGAACTGAAGCTGAGAGGGCTTATGTAACTGGCCCAAGGTCACCCAGCGGGGAGGTGGCAGGGCCGTGGCAGGGCCAGGATTCAAGTGCAAGCTGTCTGACTGAGAGCCCTGCTCTTATCCTCTGTGCTGTGTTCCCAGGGGTGCAGACGGGACGGTACGTGGCAGAGCTAGGACTCAGCTACGCCTCACACGCGGTGCTCCTTGCACTCCAGCAGCCTGGCTCTCTGGAGACGAGGGCAGCGTGGAGACAGGCAGGAAGGCACGGGCATGAGGCGCCCAGGCGCCTCCTCGGGCTGTGCATTGGACTGAGTAGCCTGAGGCTGGACCGGACACGGGGCTGTGTGGCAGGGGTTGCTTCTGGGCCGGGCACCCACCACTGGACAGCAGTGGGTTTAGATTCAGCAGAACTCCTGCTCCCTCTGGCTTCCCCACTTTCTAGCTTTCAGCAAATCCCATGCTGAACCTGAGCCTCAGGGTTTTCACCTGGAAAATGGAAACATGAAGTCCTCGAAATTTTTTTTTTCATCAGATCAAATATGATAATGAAGTGAAAGGGTCTTTCTACCTCTAAAGGCATAAAAAGGCCAGGTTCAGAAGGGTTATGGTCAGCAACCTGGTGGCTCCCGGCGATCTAGTCCCAGAAGGTAGCAGAAGGGATGTGTCAGTGTTCAGACCCCACACACAACGCTGAGCTGTGACTGCTGAGGAGAAAGCTGGGCCTCTGCAGGAGGGGTCGTAACAGTCCTGCCCTCGTGAATAAGTGCTAGAGACAAGCGTCCCTTGCTTCCTGGAGCAGCTCTGTCCCCACCCCACCCCCACCCCATGTGGTCCCTCCTGAGAGTGAGTGCCTCTGCTTTGCTTGTTCACTGACAGATGTGAGAGCAGAGGGCCGTGTTCAGACGGAACGCCAAGCGTCCGGCACGCCAGGAAGCGGCGGGAAAAGGCCATTGTAAGTGACCTGGGGCCCCAGAGCCCGGAGAGAATGGGAATGAGCAGGGGCGTCAGGAAGGGTCGGCCCTTCATAGACTTGAAGCTCTGTGAGGCTGGCTGTGGCCTGCAGAAGATAATTATATTCCTCTCACTTGCAAAAGCACAAGGGTTATCAAGGGGCATCAAAGGTGGCACTGTGCAAAGTGCAGCCAAGGGACTGACTGTGAGGCATGCATTTGGTGGTGATTTGGGGCCCAGTGTCAGGGGCTCCGTAGGGCCAAGAGAGCAGGCCATGGTAAGGGGAGCACACGCCGTCCCCACCACCACCTTCTGTGTGACCTTGGGCAGGTTCCCCAGCTTCCCTGAGCCTCAGTTTATTCATCTGTATACAAGGGAGTTGCGCCTTATGCTTCCTAAGTGTCCCCCAGCTTGATCAGGGGTAAGGGGCCAAGAGAGCCTCCCTTGCTCCGCACTCACCTCCCTAATCCTCCCCCGGAGTTAGTCCACAGGCCCAAGCCGTGCCTGGGGAATCTATTGCAAAGTGCCCCACAGGGAAAGTTCATTGGTAAGCTGTGCAGGGTGTGGGTGGAGCCGGCCCCTCCTTGTCACTAGAAAGGAGGGAGGGAAAGGAAGACAGAGGCACAGAAGGACAGTCTCTCCTTTGCTTTACCTCATGACGGGTGCTTCTGGGCGGAGGTGGAGGCACACATGAGGTGTGCCTACCCCAGGAGTACATAGCTGTCTGCAAGCAGGTGCCTAAAGCCACGGGCTGTACACAGAGCATCTTGGAATCCATGTGTGACCGTTCAGCAGTTGCGAGATGCCTAGCATTATCCGAGGCCCTGGAAGACCACAATGAACAAGACAGACAAGATCCCCATTCCCGTGGTTGGGGCAGAAGGGAGAGAAAACAGACTCATAAACAAGGAATAAACACTATAATTGCAGACTGGGAGATGCGCTGTGAAATTAATCACGTCACAACTAAAACATCTGAAATAAACAGTGGTGTTTTGACTGTTGGGGAGAATGTATTTATATGGTGGTCTGGGTTGGGGGTGGGCATCTTTAAGGAGCTGGGACCTGAGGGATAAAAGGAGCCAACCAAGCACAGATGTAGGAGAATAGTGGGGCAGAGGTAGGAAAGAGTGTCATCATGAATTTTAGGAGCCGCAGGGAGGCTGGGGGAGGGGATTTCTACTTTGAGCTTCACCGAGACAGATCCTGGTGTGGGCTGCCCAGCTCCCATGACTGTTGCTAGCAGAGCCCTGCTGTGGCCTCTGGGCCTGCGCTTTCTCCCCTGCCACCTGTAGTTCCAGAATGGACTGGCTCCAGAATCCCTGCCTTAACCTGTTCCCAGAGAAAACCTTTCCAAAGCTGTTGGTTTTGCCCACGGGAGCACAGGTTCCCAGGAACACGCTGTAGTTTCTCCAGGACGTCAAAGGGACTCTGCCAACATTAGTAACTTTAACTGGTTGAAACCACACATTGAGGAGGAGAGAAAGGGAGGTTTCAGCTGGGCTTCCCCTCACTCCTTCTCTCAGCTGGGCCCTTCTGGGGGCATGTCGTCATGGTACCAAGCTCACCTGAAGGTGACCTCGGTTACAGTGTCTACGCACTGCCTTGGCAAAACCAAGGCTAATGTTGGCTCCAGTAGCCCTATGTCCCCTGTCCCATTGCTTTCCTCCCGGCCCGCTCTGACTTCCTCTGTGACCTGGCTCCCAATGCTCACCTGCTACCACCCTCAGCAGCTTGCCTTTCCACCCCAACACCTCCCCCATGACCAAAACAAGCCTCAGACTTAAAACAAATATGGAAGCTACTGAGTATGCAGTTATAGTAACAGCGATGAATCCCTCTCCTTTCTTCGCCTGGTCGGCTCATTTCCTTCAAGGAAGCAGCTGCTTCTTTGGAGGTCACTTCCCCCCATTTAACACTGAGCAGGTCCCCTCCTCCAACAGGACAAGTCCTCTGGGATAACGCCCACCATTGTTCTCTCTCTGACGCCAGTCCCAGCTGGTGTCACGCACTCAGTCAGGTGTCATGGATGAGGGCAAGGACTCCATGGGAGCTTGCCACCAAAGGGGCTCCTGGAAGCCAGACAATGATTGGGTCCCTCTGTGTCCCCCTTCTCGAGCAGGGCGAAGGCCGCGTGGTGTACATTCGAAATCTCTCCAGCAACATGAGCTCCCGCGAGCTGAAGAGGCGCTTCGAAGTGTTTGGTGAGATTGTAGAGTGCCAGGTGCTGACGAGAAGCAAGAGGTGAGTGGAG